CTCAGTCTGCACTCCCAAGGGAAACTAATGAGTTCAGCCGAATCTTCCACTGAAAGTCACTGCTTCTCCACCTTTGCTCCAGGGGGGTTAGATGGAAGGTCTCTGCAGGACTGATTTATGCTTTCAGAGATGATGGGGCAAGGATCACAAAAGGCAACAAATGGGCAAAATTCTGCTGAGCATTTTGCTGCTGTTGTGAATTACACCTGAAGTCCCCCAAGCTTTAGCAATTTCCCTTTTCATTTCTGCATATGGAACTAAAGAGGCCCTCACTCCTCTTTTCTGGGCAATCCTACTGGACATAGGCACCACCTCTGATTGTGAGCAGAAGCAGCAGCGAAGATTGCATCCATAAGAGGTGGAAAAATTATCATTGTTTTTTTGTGATATAGGGTAAACAGTCTAGAAATCCTTTTCATAATTAGGCCAAGGACTAAGACTGCTGCCAAGCAGGAACAAGACTCAGCCGCTACCTTTAGGGGGTGCATTAGAGGGCCAGGAAGCTGTTCTCAGGCAGCTTAGCCTGGTATTCCTCACTTGCATCCAGTGCTAAGTATTTTTCCAAACCATTAGGACACCTTAAAGGTACCAGATGTAAGACAGTCCTAAAAAAAGTAGCAGGATGTTTTGTTTTCTGTGTGTGGTGCTGGATGAATACCTGATACAGGGATATGGTCATATGTAGTGTCATCTAGAGGTTTTCCCTGGGTCAGGCTAACATTTTGTTCTCCAGAATCAAGATTAACTCAGAGGTTGTTTGTTGATTTCTTAACAAAGAAAGGTCATTGTCTTTAAGCGGCCAAAGGTGCTTCCTACAGTCTAAGCTGAATCTGCTTCTCTTTCTTCAGTGCTTGCCATATCTGGAGTCCATGTTATAGCTGAAGGTAGACATTTAAATACGGCACTGAGATGTGATTCTGGGTGCAGCTGGGGTAACAGTTCATTCTCCTGCTTAGGTGGAAATTTGGCAGATGAGCCTGTTTTCCACAGAGAGCCTTCTGTATCTGGTCTGCCAGGCACAAGAGGTGGATGAGGTCTCAGGGTGAACAAGGCATCTTCGAACGTGCATTGAACCAGTCATGCAGGTGACATCATTTCTAGCAGACCAACATCAGTTCAGCATGGCTCTCCAATATCTGTCTTGGTCTTGGAGTAACAGAAGTTCATCAGTTGAGAACTCAGACATCAAATAAATCCAAGCCAACATGAAGAAGAAATTAGTTGGGCTGTAGTGCTTGATGTAGTGAACACTCCTCAGACTGTCTCGTCTCTCTATCCAGATCTTAAAAAATAGAATTAATTTTAGCTCTACCATTATTCCATATTTATTGAGGATGTCGGACTTGTGGAACACTTTTTGTTCTGTTTATTCCCATTTTCTCATTAAAAATTGAAGCCAGGCTGCACACTAGAATTAAGTGTGTTGCTCCGAGAGGCCAAACACTGCTTTCTCTTCTGGCAATGACAAAATTCCCATTAGTTTTATTGGCACAGCACTGAGCCCTAAAGCTAAAAGTAGCTCCATGAGTGACAGAACCATTGCATTTCAAAATGAAATGCTGCTCCTGATGCAGAGTTGAGTTCCTTTCTTTGCTGTAATTTCTGAAAAATAATAATGATCTCTGCAGATGCCATCTGTGTTGGTCTGTGCCTTCCCTCCAAACCCTTCTGTGACTTGGATTGTTTGGCCACCACCACAGAAATGCCAATAAGCCAAAAGGGGCACATTCAAGTCACAGGCAGTCAGGGTTACATGGGGAAGGAGGAGAGCTCAAGGTCAGCTCAAAGTTTGGGTGCCGAGGGAGAAGAGATATAAACGAGTCCTCTTTTCAGCAGTCCTGGGACATGGAGGATCCTTCTTTCAAGTTATACGACAGGAAGATTTACAGTGCATTTTCTGGTTATCTCATGCTATTTTTCTTAGGAAATCAGCTTCACCTGTGCAGCTAAATCTTGAGAAAAGAAACATGATGTTTTCTTTCCAAATAAACAGTTTGATCAGTTCAGGAAAAAATCCAAACCATCACTCTGTGACAACTCTTATGAGTCTGTCATGTACCTGTAATTTAGTGTCTCTCAGAAGGACCCATATGATGAAATACAGAGACTGCAGAAGAGCATCAGTTTGCACTTCTAAAGAAAAGTTGGGGGAAAAAACCCTTTAAAATACAAATAAAATGTATGTAAAGATGGAAACTTAAAAGCTGAATTAAAAAAAAATAGCAACAAACTATCTAAAAATAATCTTATGCTTTTCAAAATAAAATCTCTGGCTTTTGGAGCTGTATGTATGATTTTTGATGCTTGTAAATCATTGTTATGTAAATATAATATTCATGGCATCTGCTTGTCAGTAACACCAGCTCCTTGTTAAACACTCATATCTTCCTGTGTTCCCCTCTGGCAAATATGCAGACAGTAGAATGTGTGCTAAAAGAAGCAATTCAAATATTTCTGTTAGGTGCTGGAATTAGCTGTGGCAAGACAGCTGACCGGATAGAAAGCCCTGGACAACAAAGCCTGATCCCTTTGAAGCTGACACCTTAGTACAGCTATTTTCAGCTCCTTTCTGCTAAACTCTTTGATGGCCACAGCTCTTGGATCAGATGAGGGAGTGCATGGTCTAACACTGCCCAGCACACACCACCACACTGTGGTAACTCCTCCACAAGGTCCTCTGCCAAAGCTTCACTCGGACAAAACAACTCTCCCTTTCTTTCCTCACCTGGGGCATTGGTTGGGCTCCCTACTAATCTGCAGACTAAAAGTAGGCAGTCAAAACTTACAGCCAGCACCTCAGCCCTGTTTGCAGGCTTGTTTATGCCATGACTGTGAAAAGAACTGCTTGAAACCTCCTGGTAAGGCCTAGCCCCAGAGAAGGTTTCCAAATGTCTAATTATTTCATTTAAACCTCCTTCTGAAATACTTTATTTCTAAATTATGAAGAGGTTTAATAACAGCTTTCAGCTTCATTAACTGTTTTTATATACCTGGAACTAACGAAACCCACAAAAATCTTGATTAATTGCCCAGCAGTGTTGTTTGACACAGGGTAGGGTTTATACCAGTGTTAAAGCCTTTCTGAGAAAGTGGATTTTTACATGGGGTCAATGTCTACTTTGCAAAAAAACAGAAAACCAATTCCATGTTGTACTCCTCCTTTTCTGAAAAATTTCATAGAGCAGCAATTTGGCTGAAGAGTGCAGTGATGCGTTCAGCTAGAACAGAACCTTTTAAAACCATGTGAAAACTGCAGCTTGGCAGTATTTCACATGTATCTATCCAAGGTCAGAATTTAACATAATAGTCACATTTTTTAACAAACAGCTCTTCTTTGGATGTGAAAATAGCATGAGATGAGTTTTAAAACATAGCAGCACAAATGATGGCTACGCATATGGTTTCTAAAGCTTTCTGTTACTGCCCAACACCCCTGCATTTGAGATGTTCAGCACAAGTTGAGTTCCTTCTTAAATAGCCTGTTTTTCATGCAAAATTCTGAACTTTTTATATTCAAAAGCCTTACCCCACTCGACACACATTTGGGGTGTGTGAGGAATGGAAAACGAGCAAATAATATACTGCCACTTGCCATTTGCCCAAACTGACCAATCCATTTAAGAACAGGGGTGACTTCCAAGGACATCCAGCACAGTGTTAATATTGAAATTTTAAGACATTTTCTTTGACAAGAAAGTGAAGATAAAAGTAGCAAGATGTCAAAATGAGTGAATTGTGAATTGCCATTTAATATTTTAGTGAAGCGACATGAATAAAGACAAGGGTGCCTTGCTGCTAAAAATAACCTCTTATTTTTAATGCTGATCTGCAGCTGTAATGAGAGTGTTCAGCATTTTTCAACTCTATCAATTTTTAAATCCAGCAGGTTATGTCAACCTGAGAGAAGAAAAACTCACTCTGACTTTTAGAACAAATGTAATTTCTTTCTAACTTACTTCTGATTTTGGAAACTAAGCATATCCTCCAAATCAAAGGCAAACCAAAGGCAAGATATCACCTTGGTATTATGCAAATCACAGAGCAGTGAAAAGAGCCCAAGGGAGATAAGAAATACTTAGTGTCAGGACCACTTCAAAGAGTGTAGGATCATCATCCTGCTCTATTGTACAAGTGGCTTTTCACATGTAAATCTGCCATGATTAAATTAATATTTGTGAGCTTAACTCTGATCTTTTCTCCTCTACTTAATGAAGGGCTAATTCCTCTGAAGATGAAGGAATTACACATATGTGACTGATCCCAGAATTGGGCTCAATACATGGTTGGGATGACTTTGATTTTTTGGGGGCTCTGTTGAGCCTGCCCTCCCAAAGCTTTCCCTTCTTCCACAGAAGGCCCCCAACATTAAAAGGTTGGTTAAAGTGAATTTACCAATAGGAAAACATGCATTTATACTTGGACTCTGTGGTAGAAAGAACATCTTCACTCTGGGGCAAAGAATATAGCAAGTGTCATATTTCTAACAGGTTATTGCCATTTTGGCAATGTTTTTGGCACAATTTGGCACGGTGATCAAATCTATTTGTTACTGATAAGTAGCCTGTTCCAAAAGTTTTGAAAAAAATAAATATGTTAGGTATAGAAAAGAGAAAGAATGCAACAATATAAGGGAAAAGTGAAAAGAAGGGAACTGTGATATCTTGTTTGAATGACAAGTAAACTTTCTGTGTCTTCACTGCAAGAGAAAAAAGGGGTTTGTGACTGAGAGGTATTTCAAAGGACCTGTCACAGCACAAAATCCTAGCAGAGACAAGGTCTCTGGTACAGCTACTCAAGGCAAGCTTTATATCTTTATCTCACTAGTTAACAGTGAGATTAGAAAAACCACAGTGCCTTGTATCTGCAAAGACTGCATGTTAACACAGCTACCTTGATGTCAAATAACATCTTTGGTTTTCTATAATAGCTATGAGATCAAGTATTTTTAAGCATTCCATCATATTATCCAGCTACATTATTTTTATAGGCTGAGGGTTTACCAAGCAGATATTTCAGAACATAAACTCGGCCTTCAGGGTAGGGATGAAGTAGGGGTTTTGTGGCAAGTTCATATTTGTACAGTTCTTGTCCTATCTTCTCCAGCATTCAGCAACTGTTCACACCGCTAAAAAAAGATGCCAAAATTCACTGTCTTGCCAGATAACTCTCATTTATTCTTTCTGTTCTTTTCCTTCACACTCCACCACTTTTCCATCACCCATGCTGTAGCTCTGTAAATAAACAACATAACAAAATGGCTTTTGTACTCAGGCCTAAAAAATTTCAGTTAGTAGATGTAATTAGATATAATTATACATAATATTGACTATATTTAATTCCAGAGCACAGCAATCTTAGAAAAACAAGTCCTCTTGTTATCCAAAAGACCAGTTCAAGATGAGCACAGTGTCACAGAACCAAGGGATGTCTGGAGGTCATCTGGCCCAACCCCTCTGCTCAAGCAGGACCACACAAGGTACAATTGCCTGAGACCATGCCCAAATTGCTTTTGATTATCTCCAAGGACGGAGACTCCACAACTTCCTTGTGCAGCCTGTGCCAGTGCTGGGTCACCGTCACAGTAATATAGAGGTAGCTCATTCTGAAGAACCATTTATCGGCCCTGTGGTCAAAGGACCAGTTCTGTTTCCAAAAGGTTATTCAGACCTTCTGGAACCATGACAACTGTGATGGAAGGGTTTTTATGACAAATGGGACTTATTCCGAGTGTCCACTGGGAATTATGGATCTGCAGGGCTCAAACTGGTCAGCAGACACCTATATCTACAGAAATATGTGAAACTTTTATCCTGTATTGTAAGTCCACAGCCATTACTGTGCAAAATTCCTAGTTGTCCTATGGAGTTTCAAATTCCCATAGGTTTAGATAATTGAACTGACTCTTGGTCTATTTTGACTAGAAAGGCTGTTGGAGCACCTTAGGCTCCTGTAGCTACCAATATGCAGACACATAAGTGTCATTATCTCAGTCTTGATCTGAATCCCATCCCAGCTCTGTCCACTTATAAGTAAATTATTATCATTGAGTGACTTACATTTCTAATACTGACATAAAAATAAGAAGCTACTGTTGGAAATTTTTAAAAGAAACACAAATTTAGAGTTTCAGGTCTTTTGTCTTTGCTTATGATTGAATGAGAAACTTTGTAAAACTGAATTGTTTTCTAGATACAAGTCTAGAGTAGACTGGTCTGTAACTAAGGTAGTTAAAAACTTAGAAGATCCCCTGGCACATGTTACTAATTACTGAAGGTGAAATTGGCTGAAATCCCCATATTTTATGCAGACCCATTCTGGCTTTTATAGAGGATTCCCTGGGCCATGCAATCCAACATTCCATGCTCCTGAACCTATTTTGTTATTGGATCTAGACTGACTCCTCTCAAAGCAACAGCAAAACCACTGTAGATGACTCTGTTATGCCCTGTTATGCCACATTACAACACTGACCTGTTGGAGCAAGCCCAGAGGAGGGTCACCGAGTTGATTAGGGGGATGGAGCACTTCTCCTACAAGGAAAGGCTGAGACAATTGGGTTTGTTCAGACTGGAAAAGAAAAGGCTTTGGGGTGACCTAATTGGGACCTTCCAGTTCCTGAAAGAAGCCTACTAGAAAGACGGAGAGAGACTATTTACAAGGGTGTGTAGTGATATGGCAAGGGAGAATGGCTTCCAATTGAAAGAGAGTAAATTTAGATTAGATGTTAAAAAAAAAATTCTTTGTTGTGAGGCACTGGAGCAGGTTGCCCAAAGAAATTGTGGATGCCCCATTGCTGCACTTCAGATTAAGCAATAAACTTCCCAGAGTGATTACATTTTTATTTAAGACTTTTTAAAAGCCTTTTTGTTTGTTATAACCTCTAATTAGCATCCAGAGAAAGAGTCACATACTCTTCTCCAAGAGAAATTCTTTTTAATCTAGTGAGAAAAACAAGATATTTTGGCAAAAGGTTTTTACAGGAGTAAAATACAACCAAAGAAAAACGCATTTCACTAAAACATTCAGCACAAAGACCCATTCCACAGGAAACAACCACTAAAAACAATCAATACCAGCTTTAGTAAAACACAGTTCACTGGTTTTAAGTTACCCGCAAAAGAAGGAAAAGAATAAAAGAAAACAACAGATTAAAAGAGGTAAAGAAGGAGAGAAGAAAGAGAGAAGGAGAGAGAGAGAAAAGAGAATAGTTACTGACAAGATTTGATGATTCACAGGGTGCCAGCTGGAGAGGAAGAAGAGGGAGACTTCATGGAGTCTCATGTATTTACAGAGTTCAGTTTTCCCTCCCAGGTGGGATATCCAGGCAGTGCCTTCCAGGCCAGAGTGAGCTGTGCTGTAGCAGTCAAAGGCTGCAGGGGTGTGGGGTGGTGTGGACTGCAGGTCTTGCCTTCAGCTCTGCCCTGTGCCCTCAGCACAGCCCTGATGTGCAGACCTTACCATGGACCTGCAGGTCCAGGCCCAGCCCTTCCCCACATGCACACACAATGAGTTGGTTCTGACCCATTTCAATAATTCAGTGAGGCTTGGATCCAGGATCTCCCACCCAACCCTGGAAGTGTTCAAGGCGAAGTTGGATGGGGCTCTGAGCAACCTGGTCTACTGGAAGGTGCCCCTGCCCATGGCAGAGGGATTGGAACTAGATGATCCTTTAAAGTTCTTTCCAATGCAAGCCATTCTATGATGCCGTGATTACATGATACTGCCTCTTCTGTCTGCAGGGAAGTATCATGACACGTACCATAGCTTAGTGAAGAATTAAACTATGGGGTCCATGACCTGCTGTGCATGAGGGACATGAGGAAACTCTGTAGCCACTGACATGGTGACAGCTGTTGAGCAGAAATAGAGGTGCTATCTGTGTGTATTTTTGGAGAAATGGAGGTACAGAGATTTTGACTTTCATTTCAGGGCTAAGATTGGGAGCCTGGCAATAATGTTCAATAAGTAGTTTGGGGAAATGAAAGCTTTGATTCCCTAGAAATTCCTGATGCTGCTCAGCACACAATTCTGGGGCCAGTGTCCAACTTGTCCATCTGACACCTGACATTATCACAGAAACAGTGTTAGACAAGGTCCAGCATGTCCCCCATACTCATATTACAAATGGGCACTTGCTCATACCTGGAAGACCCCACTTCTCATCAAGTGCAATGGGGGTGTGTGTGCACGGGGCAATCTGGGGCTTGGCACAGGCTCTGGCTGGCACACAAGGGCAGAGGAGGTGTACTCAGTGGGCTGATACTTCATCCCTCATCTCTCCCCCAGAAATTTCATCCTCTTGAACACTTGAGAAAGTTTTGCCTTACTATAATAAGTAGATGTCTTCGGTGTTTACTTCTTAGCCACTGCCAAGGGTTTTTAATACCGTCTTTCTGTTTTAAGTGAGCTAAGGAGCTTATTTAGCCCTAATCAAATAACTGCAGCTTTTCCAGGCACAGAAAAGTTAAAATTCAGTGATTTCAGGCCATCTACAGAAACATCAACAAAATCTGAATTTCTTATTATTGAAATTATTCATTTTATCTAAATGTCGCTTCCATTTATGTTAATTTTGATCTGGTTGGGAAAGTGAGCAGCTATTGAGGCTATTAAGCAAACATTCCCTGAATCAAAACAATAGGCTAATTACTTCTAGATGCATATAGGTTTTATTATGCGTGAATTAGTTACTAATTCACCCATCCTGCACTTTAATATTCAGCTAGTAAGCTCAGATTGGTTTTACAGAAACTTTTATGTTTTCCCAAATTGAGACCTTTGCTACTTACTGAAAAGTTCTAAACAGTAAATAAATATTTAATGATATCTTGGGAAAAACATCCTCTTTTAACTTGTTTAAAGAAAATAGTTTGTTGAACAGCAGAATAAAATCAAAGCTGAGCCATGTTCTCCTCATACTCAGCCTGGAGCCTTGGGGAAAAAAAATGTTGCTTTAACACATAATGTAATTTGCTGGTGTCAGAAGTGGAAGGGCTGCCAGAGCCTCTAGACAGCTCACTCCAATTGCTCCCCACTGCGAAGGGCATTTGATCATCGATCACTGGTGACTCACAGAAAGAAATAAGAAATGCAAAAGAAATAAGCCATGTCATGGTCTAACCCCACATAGCAATCAAGCCCCACGCAGCCACTGGCTCACTCCCCCACCAGCAGGATCGGGAAGAGAATTCAGAAGGGTAAAAGCAAGAAAGCTCATGGGTTGAGATAAAGCCAGTTTAATAGAGAAAGCAAAAGATGTGCATGCAAGCAAAGAAAAAATGAGGGCAGGCAGGTGTTCAGACATATCCAGGAGAGCAGGGAGCAGCACACGTAATGGACTTTGGAAGATCAGTAGTACCACTCCAAATATTCCCTCCCCTTTGTCCTCCTTCTTCCCCCCCCGGGCCCCCACCCCTTTATATACTAAGCATGATGTCATATGGTAGGGACCGTCCCTTTGGTCAGTTTGGATCACCTGTCCTGGCTGTGTCTCCTCCCAACCTTCCATACATCTTCAACTTCCCTGCCAGTGTGGCAGTACAAAGAGCAGAAAAGTCCTTGGCTCTGTGTAAGCCCTGCTCAAAAACATCTCTATATTATCAACCCTGTGTTCAGCATCAATCCAAAACACATCCCCATACTAGCCACGGTGAAGACAATTAATTCTAGCCCAGCCAAAACCAGCACAGCCACGTCTTTAATTAGGAAGAAGAGCAGGAGGGTGGGGGCAGGAGGTTAAGGGATATCTTGTCTCTCTACATCTATAGGAGGAAATAAGAGCTATGGGGCTGCAAAAATCAAAGGGAGAAGCTGAGTCTGGTATAGCAGAGGAGTGGATGGCTAGGAGATAATTCCCATTTGCTTTTATTGTAAAGATACTGTGTTCATCGTTAGAGAAGAGCAGCTGTAAATGTTCTTGCCATTGTCAAATAGAAGCATGACAAGAGTGGTAAGGCAGAAGTGATTAATAAACCCTGGCTTTTTTTAGGAAGTCAAACTCCCCACGAATTCCTGCTGTAGCATCTTTGCTGGAAACAGTTAAATCCAGAGGCAGTTCAGCAACCATAGGAGGAAATGCAGGTCATTTCTTGAGGTACATCTGGTAATTCTTGCCAGCAATAAAAGACAGAAGATGACAGCACCCAGGGCCAGAGGAGAGCTGGGTCACACAAGTCCCTCTCAGCACTGCATGTGGAGGCAGCTGAGCTGCCTCTGCTGTGCTGTGGGCCAGAAGCCCCCAGTGTGGGATTGGCAATAGCGCTGGTGTAGGGCATCCCATTCTCCTTCACCATGGGGACATGGGGATGGTTTTGGCCCAAAGCAGCCTTGTACATGTGATGTGCTCCATCTGCAAGACTGACCACCAACACATCGACTCCCATACTCCTCAGGGCCACTGTCTCTCCAGGGCTGTGCTTCCTGCAGTCGTGGGGCACTGGGGAACTGCCCTGGACATTCATTCAATGGAAGAGGAATGAGATCTAATGAACCAAAATACAGAATTTAGGATGAAACATCTAGCAACTTGACAAAGCTGACAATGTTCCTGTTATGGAGTCTTGAAGACCATTTATGTCTTTATTTTTAATGTGTGTGCTTTGTACTTTGTGTTCCTCTCTAAGAGGTGACTTAAATCTCAGCAGGTGTTTCGCTTTAATAAAGTGGTATTGAAATCTCCTCAAGACACTTTGGAAAGTTTCTGGTAACAGATTTTTAGGGACTGTGAACAATATGTTCCTCTGTCATCTACTCAGGACAAGATGTTTGATCAATCACAACCATAGCTTTTTGTCTTTCTAATTTTTCCTGAAGCCTAAGGGGAGGTTGCAGAAGTTCCTGAAAGATCACAGGCAGCAGGGAGAAGTGAAGAGCTTTGTTGGAAGATCAGGTAGAGGAGACTTGACTGCACCTCCATCCATGGTGGTCTCCCAAAGGGCACATTCCAGTGTCATTTCTCTCCCTAGCTACTGCCAGTGCTGCTGACTGGCACTGCCTCCGCTTGACACAGAGGACAAGTATTACATACCTGAATTACATGATTAAAGTTGCACAGATATTTAAGGATTTTCTGTATCAGAACCTCTATCTTGAGGGCACAGTGGCATATGATGAGTCCTTCAGTGAAAAGCCATTACAGGAAAGCCCTATGTAAATCTCTGACATGACATCCTGCCCACCCCCTGTTTCAGAGGTTGCCTCATTGGTTACAGTGACACAACATCTGTTTGATCACATTGTAACTCACATCTTTGAAACTTCCTAGTTTTTCACAAGTGCTTTTGGGGGTGACATCACCTTGCAGTAGTAGGCTGTGCAAAAACCAGACATCCCTTAATGCAGCCATCTAAATTCCAGGGATTTTGTGTATGCTGAAACTTCAGCTCCTTCTGTCTAGTCAATGGTGAGAAACAGCATTTCTGAGGAGAGATCCAGCCCTGCGTCTTTGGATGAGACAGTCTCTGGAGAGGCCTGCTTCTCTCCAGCAGCATATCCAGAATGACTGTTGTATGCTGATATCAGACCAAGGCTGGCTGAGATAATGTCCACTCAGATGCTTGTGGAAAGGGCACAGAGAGTGAGACTGCATCCAGGAACAAACTGCGAGCCATTTGGTCTGATGCAGGTATAAATTCTTCCTCAGTTGTTGTCGTGGGGATAACCCTGCTCAGCTTTGATGGCACAAATCTCAGCTGGAGCTCTACAGCCACAGAAGATCCTGACTGTAGCAGACAGTGGCCTGCAGCCTGTGCCTGGGAAAGAGGGCCTCTGACACTAAAGCAGCCCAGTCACGTCATGTGGTGCACCAGGTAGGTGTCTTACTGCGCTCTGAGGTGGTGCTGCCTCTGGGTGCCACTCCTTCAGATGAAATTACACAAGAATAGGAGCACCTTCTCAGTGGATAATGCCCAATACTTGCAAATTGTTCCATATCACAACAAGGGACAACATCTTGAAATTTTCCAAGCAAAAAAAAAAGGACAAAATATATTTAGAATCAGTGGGAAAATATGTTCTAAATATATCCCTTTGAACATTATATTGCAGGAAAAATGCCACATACTTAACAGTGTCTGCTATTACAATGAACATTTTAATCTAGTAGTCTAGATTGCAGTCTATCATCCTAATGCACTGAAGTTGCAATGAAATGTTTTGGCTTCTACGCATTGTAAGTATTAGAGAAATCAATTTTTTTTCCATTAAACATAGTTTCAAGTAAACAGCATTTTTCACTGCAAGATCATTCTTTAAGAATTT